AAAGAGAGAGAGAGAGAGAGATGTTGGAAACGATTTTTGATGAATAAATTATTACACGCAAAGGCGTGGGAAAATTCTATTCTAGAGAGAGAGAAAGAAGAATGCAGAAACACCGAGAATAATCGATTCCCGTGCGTTGTACATTATTTAAAAGAAATCGGAAAAGAGGAGGAGGAAACAAGACAGACGGCGAAGGAATATACGCGATGTCAGAGGCAAGGGGCCAACGAGTACCCACAGATACGCCGTACAAAATCATATTTGTGCCAGGCATCGCGGGACAGTGAGGGAGACGCGAAATAACAATTACCCATCCGTCAGTGGCGTACGCGGCGGGTTCGCTACGTGTCGCGATAAATTGTAAATAAGCTTCTCCGCCACGGAAATCCCCGGCATCTGGATAAACTCTCGAAAAGATATTCCGGTCGAACGTGACGCGTTTCTCGCGCGGCTGATGGAAACCACCCGCAGCTCTCTCCCAACGAGATTTACCGTAAATTTTAACGCGGCCGTACCGAACGGTATAGACGCGCACCGGCACCGATAGAACCCACTCGTTGTTCGTTCCCTATCGGCGAAACGAGAGCCCCCATTAACGTCTGCCATTTTTTTTTTTCTATCTATTCTTAACGCACGATGGGAGGAAAAAAAGCATTGATAGTAACATCTATCTAGATAGTAAGTAACTGATAACGTCTATTTACGCAATGAGATTAACCTGAAAATTGATTTGATTCGAATACTATACGCGTGTGGTACTGAATAAATAATTTGCCTTATAGGTATTATTATTATCTATGATATTATATTAATTTATTTTTGTTATATTGAAATAGAGGTATCTGATTTGACAAATGATTCCACGTACAATATACCTTCGATCTTAATGCAGTTAAAATATTTTAATAATATGCACGTAAGCTACTTCTCTGCTACGTGGAGTGATTCGACTTGATTTAAAAGTTGCAGACACGTCCTTTCATGAGATTCGACACGACAGATTCATCGATCCTGACACTGCAAGAGTTACAAGTACAATGAAGGACAAGGACAAAAGAAAGTTTAAAAGCGCCTGCTACGACATTACAACTGAACATTAATAACGATCGTCTATTTATGGCAATTATATATCATGGCTTTTCACGTTTCTTTAAACTCTTTTCTGTCCGCCATTGTACCTTCTAAAAGAATCAGCAGACGATTTTATGAACAAATCGCTCCATCTTTCTCGCCAGTTCAAAGGGTAAAAACACGACTCGATCGACATCGATTCGAGAGAAAGTTCAGAGAACACGGTACGTTTGCACAAGCTGCTCGCGAAATAACCTGTACGTATTTGTTATTGCTCGTCTCCTTTCCCCGTACAATGAACCGGTTTCTTTAATTTCCGACTCGAGACTCGCCGGTTCGAAGATAAACGCGACCAACGGGGAGCACACGACGAACAGCAGACGCGGAAGAGCAAGAACGTTGAATATTTGACGAGCAAACTCCGGATGAATTTAACGACATTTCTCCCCCCCCCCCCCGTGTTTACCCCCCGCCAATTTTTAGATCCGGCGCTAGTAACACCGGGACAAACGCGACAATGCTACGTTAAAGAAAATCGAAACAATTTCCACCCGCTTTGAAGAACATCGCAATTTTCAATGTATCTTCCTCTGTATTCAAAATTTACGGCTTTTGAAGAAATTGCGCATTCAAGGGTTGAAATAAATAAAGGGTCAAACGTGTATTAGGAAATTAAAAATATCTGCAAATGTTGCGGGTGAAGAATTTTTAGTGTGACAGAGATTTCATTAACTTGACGAAAAGTTCTTCCATCGTAAATCTATAGATAGCCTATTTTTATAGATAGCCTATTTTCGTAGAGAGATATCTTTATAGAGATAACCTATTTATTTCATTAACTTGACGAAAAGTTCTTCCATCGTAAATCTATAGATAGCCTATTTTTATAGAGGTTTCATTGCTACTTACTAAAACTGCCAACGATTAAGAAAGACTTTACAACAAAATAAAGCCTTTATGAAAAATAATTTAACGAGAAACTTTCGAAAAATAACTTGAATGTCTAAGAATACGGACGTGACGCGTAAAACTTCGAACGAAAGTTATAAATTAGTCGTTTTGATCGCCTCGGTAGTTTTGGTGTTGATCGAAAACCTGTTTCGATGTTTCCTTTCCGGAATAACCGCTCGCTGATTCCTCGACCCTGCGCGATTTCCTTTCTACTTTTCCCCGTTGCTCGTCGGTTATTCCGTCTAGCTGGAACCTACGTCCCGTATCAGCCTATTCTCCGGGGAGAGAGCGCACGGTTTCCTTTTTCCAGTCGGCGAAAGGCGAAGACCGTGGCGAGGAACGCGGTGCAAACAAAACGATAGAAATCCGGAAATAAACGGGGAGAGAGATCTACGTAACGCGGGTAAGAAGGACGGACGAAATCCCCCGTCGAGGGACCTCGACGTTGATGGTTCAAGAACGGGGAAAAAGAGAGAGAGAGAGAGAGAGAGAGAGAACGGTGAAAACAAAAAGAAAAAGAAAAGAGAAAAAAATCAGCGGAGCAAACGGTGCTTTATTTACGAATTCTTCGAGCTGGATGCAGACGACGAAGAGAGAAAAAGAGGGTAACAAAAGCGTTGGGAAACGACCGAGTTCCTTCTCCGAGGCGAATGCGACGTGGATGCTTTCGGAACGACGCGAAGGTTCCTTTCTTCTGGGCAAATGGAGACAGTTGTCGAAGAAGAAAGGGGAGAGGGTTGAAAAGGGGTGAAAGAAACGGGGGAAGAAAGGAACGTCGCGAGGGTTCCAAAGCAGAAGGGGCCCCATGCAAAAGAGGAGGATCCAGGAAGGAGCTCTACAGAATTAAGAGCCCATTACCCTTTCATTAACTCGACGTTGGATTGACGCAGGGGGCGACGGATACTCTTTTCGAACCCTTTCTCTTTGTGGCGGTGTCTGCCTCCGGAGGAGGAGAACAGACAGAAGCATCTCGATGAAAACTGGATCCATTCAGTGGCCGCAGCAGCCACTTACCACCATCTGGTGTACACGCAAACGAGTACTCTATTGTCTTCGAGCCTGCCAGGGGTGGATTCGCGTTACGCTCTCTGCCGGAAGTGGTGTTCGACGCTGCCGCTTGAAATTTAAACGGCGATCGAAAGAATCGGAACGATCCCTTTTAGTTGTCTCAAACACCATACAATATAAATGTGAACAGTGACGAGGAGAGGTGGACATCAGCGGAAAAGGGATAACATCTGTTCCTTGTAAATCTTGTTGTAAATACGAGAAATCAATCATCAGCTGTTGCAACGGAATTCGATTGTGTAAAATGAATAAATAATTTTTGTTCCAAATATGATAAATATTTAACTGAGAGTAAAAACGATCGTGAAAATTGAACGTTGCGTTTTTCTTTTAACTTATTCCCACGATTTATTATCGTTTACTTCATTCTGAAGATGAACAATAAAATTAAGTCGTTTGTTCTTCAACGTGGGAGCATAACTACAAATTAAAAACAATGTATCTGAATATTTTCTCGCCAGAATATTCAATAATCAAAAATTAAGGTACTGAAGAAAAAAGAAAGTCTAAAAATGAATAATAAAATTAAGTCGTTTGTTCTTCAATGAAACGGCATAATTATACAACTATGAAATAAAGACACCCCAGTAAAAATACAATAACGTGCCTAAATATTTCCTCGCCAGGATACTCAATAATCGAGAACTGAAGCATATTGAATAAAAGAGTAAATGCTAATTATAAAGATTCGATACGGGGTTCGATAACAAAATTCGATTTCTGTAATACATTGAAAATTTCGAAGGGGAGGCACGAACCGTGTATACGCGACACACACGCGAATACAATCGGGGATACGAAAGATTTTCTCGCGCGAAATTCTCATTCTATTAGACGATAATTGACTGTCAAACTCGCGGCACGCCGGCGCCGCGCACGCTCGTTCGACTGTAATACCAGAAACGGGTTAATTGCGTTATGGCTGTCATTATCTCGGTCGCTGAGCATGCAGCTCTCGAGAGGTGCGCCACCCACGAGACACGGCTTGTGCACGTAATCCCGGGTTACGTTCTGCTGAAACGTTTACTTCTAAACGTGCAGGGCAAGAGAAATTTCGCCCCGTTTATTCGATTTGCCAACTCGCGCTTCGCCTAGTTTTTTTTTTTTTTTTTTTTTCAACTCGTATCCGCCCTCGCTTACCCGTGAAGTCGAGTTTTCACAAACTCGCGCCGTATCATTAGAAACAAAACCGTCGCCGATCCTCCTTCTACCTCTCGCCACTTTCGTACGCCGAACATCGCAAGGGGAAGCAATTTTCAAAAATAGCGGAGAATTTTCCTATCGTCTCGCAAGATTGAAAACTCGAAGATTACCTCGCAGTCATTAAAGATGTAAAATGTTTGTAAATGTTTCACAAAATGTCGCGTCGCGTCGTTGCCAGAATATTGAGAAACTACTGAATCCCAGCGTTCGAAATTATTTAAAAATATTAAGATTCTTTCTCCTTACGAAGCACCGAAGACTCTCCCTTGACTTGAAACGAGCTAAAATTATCCTAAAAATTTAATTGAGATTCGAAGAATCATTTCGAGGAATCAATGTTGAAATTTTCCAAATGGAAGCCGAACAATCGAAATACAATCCATCGAGTCGTAATTCAACCAGCGTAAGTGACGCAAGACAATGGCTCAACCTGTTAAATATCGAACGACCTGCTCGAAAAAGTAAAATAAAACGGCCAACAGGTTTTTCAATTCAGGGACAATGGCCAAGGAGAGCCAAATACGGAGTGGCTGGTTCCCCGTTTCACCGAGCTCGGGCTCGTTAATTAACGTTTCTCGCGTTCGTCCTTTGGCGAATCGGCGACGCGTTTTACGGCTTTCGCGCGCTCGCGAACTCAGTCGGCGAGGAATTTCGTCGACGACGTTTCGGTTGCGGTTGAAATTAAAGCACGAAGATAGCGAACTCACCGGGGTCGGAGGAAGGATGAGCTCTGGTGAGTCTGCAGAGTTGCAACGGCAGATACCGCGTATCCGCTCGCGGTGGTGACTTCGGGGGCGGGGGCGTCGCGCTGAGAAATCCGCGTTGCAGCTCCCAGCCCACCTCCTGGATGATCGAAGCCTTCCTGAAGTACGGCGTCACCTCTCGCAGATATTTCACTGTAACAGAGAAACGCAAGATTTTTTTTTTTCCATAAGCTCGTATGAAATTTCCTCGGCAGATGAAATTCTCACAGCGCAAGTTATTTCGTTCTTTACTCGATATATTATTCATGCATTAAACCGAGAGAATCTTCGATTAGGTGATGTAATTCATTCTTTCTTACGATCGTCTAATTTCGTTATTCCAGACCAGTTGGGACACTTTTAGGCGAATTTCACAATTGAAAATTATTGCAGATCTCAAATGGAACGAATGATCAATTCTCAGTAACTTTCGTGACTTTTTTTTTTTTTGTATAAGAAAATTAGAATGATACTTTGATGGCTAGTAATGAGACTAAATACACAACGTTGAGAAATTTGCTACGAATAAGATTAACAAGATAAATAATATCAATTAAACAACATTACTGATTACGACTAATAATAAGAATAATTGAATATACACGACTTGTTAACGAATTTCACGTTTCCGGACGTGATTAACAGTACAATCGACGATTGAACATCGCCGAAGAAACAAATTAAAGTGTCTCACAATATTTTAAACACAGTGGTTCTCTGAAATTCCTAAAAAGCAACCTCTACCAACGTTCTACCAATTGTTTACTAGTAGATCGTAGCGGATCGCGGTAATCAACCGTCTTCCCAAACTCGGGTGTAACCATTTCGGTTCGCGTTGCATCGCGCCGATGATTTCTCGCCGTTTTTACGGCTGTCCGGCCTCGAAATTTCCCGCGTACCCCCTGGTACGATTACCCCGGCAGTGGGGAACAGACGGTGGCGAGCCTCGTAAATCGTACAGACCGGCAGATCGGATCCACCGTTTCGCCATCGGAGCGTCTAGATACGGCACCGCGGTCACGTACAGACTGTTTCAAAATCCAATTTGTCGTTGATGTTTCGGCGTCGCTGCGCTACCGACGCGATTACATATAGGACAAACTCGTTAAAGTTCGAAGGAACATACAAGCGCACGAGGAGCTACGAACGACGACGACGACGACGACGACGACGACGACGGTGGTGAGAAAACGGAGGGGCGAGGAATAGTCTGCAATCCTGACGCAGAACTAACCGAAATACTGAAACATGTAGCACACGGCCACAGAAGTGGTAGGGAGGGGGTGGAGGAGAGTAACCGACACCGCCAGGGCGAGCAGCAAATTCGCAGGAAACCCGTAAAAACCGGTCGTAAAGTCGGGATACGTTCTCCTCGAGGAGAACGTGGCTTAATATCGAACCGATCGGTCCGAAATATCGATCGGGCTCAGCTGGCACTCTTCTATTCCAGCGTCGCGGAATTCCCCGCTCGTGCTTCGACCGAAATTACCGATCCGCGATCCGCCGGCAGTTTACGACTGCCTCCCTTCCGAAAGAACGAATCAACGCTACGCGTAACCACCACCCTCCCCCTTCCGAGTCTGCGAGTCGGACGAAAAAATTCTCGCGACGATAAGAAACGTGATTTGGTTGTTTCGTTGAACGCGATGGACAAAGAAACGTGCGTTTAAATAAATGCCATCGGACGAGTATATATATATTTTGTCAACAGTTTGATAGAAAAAGAACTTTATATTTATGGAAGGATATACAATGATCTTCAGAAGATCTTCTGAATGCTTTTCAAAGTATTTAAAGGAACAGTAAGGACGAGCAAGTTTTCAAGTGATTGTTTCCAATTTCAAGAAGTTTCTGGCGATTCTGTAAACTATACTGCCAAGCCGATCAATACTCTACAAGTACGCGTATCTTTCGAAAATTTAAATCCAAATAATTATTGTAGAATGCGTTATTACCGGCGGAGCTTTTACCTAACGACATTCATAAAATGCGCGAAACGTTATATGCTTAGGATAATCGCGTTGGCTTCCGAAATAAATTATACGTAATTCCGAATAAAATAAATTCACATGCAGTGCAACGTTTCGCGAACAATTTATTACAGTATACATTATTAATCGTCGTTTATCATTTTATTATTAAAAAGAAAATTTACCGTCATTCGCCGATTACCTGTTAGATTTAATCTACTCGATCAAGCGCCCCGGCGCTTGAAAATTGAAAGAACGCTCGAAATACTGGAATTAATCACCATGGCCCGCGAGCGGCCAATCATATTTCACGGGGGGAGGGGGGGGGGGGGGGGGGGGACGCATTATACCTGCGCACGTTGGCGCGCGTATTAACCGTAGGAGGGGATTCGCTGCAATTTTCTCGTGTAATCAGCGGTGCATGAACGCGTTAATATCTTTCATTGGTCGTAAACTCTAATCATAACCGTCTGCGCCTATCGATCTATCCGTTTCCGACCGGAATACTCTCTCTCTCTCTCTCTCTCTCTCTTCTTTCAGGCCGCGCAGGAAACGCGCGGCTCGTTCGGCAAACACGGTGGCAATTTCAACGATGCCCATTGATAAGCGACGAACACCGTAATGCACGTCCCGAGTAACCAATCTCGTTCGGCGAGCGACGCAAACAGCCATCCATCTGGCCGGTGACTCGTCGCATTATTAATAATTAGACGCGCCCGTGTACGCCGATCCGACTGTTTGTCCCCGATTTCCATTCAATTGGATTATTGCTTGCGTCACCATAGAATTTCATTCGCTAATATTGGCCGGATAAATCCGGCTCTCGTCGATCATCCGATCCGTTCTTATCCTAATAATTCTTTCTCGCGGAGAATGCTTAACCTTCCATCGTGGTTACTACCGGTGGCGGATGACTTTATAAGAATTCACGGGAAATTCGAAAGCACGGAGAAGTAAGTGAAGATTCGCGTGAGAGCTTGTAACAATTCCCTGCGGTGTTCAATTTATCGAAAGACGCGTAGAATGAATGTTTATGTACGCTCGCACGTGAAGTATGTACTGTGATTCCTGTCAATTTATCGTCTTGAAAGTAGAGCGCCTTCATTTTCCGAATGTCTCAATATTTGAATGTTCTGTTGTCAGAATTAAATGTCAGTAATTAAATCATTTTGTCATCTAACTACGAATATTATATTCTAGTGACATGACATTAAGATACCCGAAAGGAAGGAAATTAGATTATTAGAAAATTTCCTCCTCTCTCGCCTGTTTGTCAAAGATTTAATGGAAACGTTGCAGCGAATTCCGTGAATTCTGAACGAAACGTCGATACTGTAAATTCGTCTATTCTGATTTCGTTCCGTACCTTTCTATCATTGTCAATTGTTTGTAAGTCGATTGAAAATAAAAATGTCAGAACTTCATAATTAAAAAATAGGTTTGTAGAAGCTTATAAATTGTAAATTTAGCTTCGGACAAGTCCAGCGCACAAATTACTTCAGCGTAAATTAAATTCTAAAAACTCTCGTGAAATAAACAGTCGTTAACTTTTCGATTTTCGCTGGCTTTTGAATTCAGCGGCTCATGCTTTTTCATTCATACACGAACGACTATTTCGATACGTTGTAAACAAATGAAACGCGAAATTAATCCTATAGAATATAAATTAATTAATTAATACGTAAATGCTAAATGAAACAACGTTGTGTAAAAATTATATATCGAGTTAAAAGAAAAAAGAAAAAAAATGCAGAAAAACGACGAAACAAAGATCGGGGTTACACGGTTGATTAGAACAACTGGCTCAGGCAGACAACGTTTCTAGAACGTCGATTTTACAATCGTTCGACCCAACTGTGCAACCGAGCAAACAGCTCGCGGCGATGTGATCGTTCCTCTCGCACAGGATCGTCGTGAAATTCACTTCACGCGCGAAAATTATCCAGGGTGGGGTCGCGGATTTCGTTATCGGCCGCGCCGATCGAGCGAAATTGCCAGCCTCGGGAATGGTAGAGCCATCTCGGCGCGGCGACGATCGGCCTCGAATACGCGATCGAAATTACAGGCGGTGATCGCGGCTGCTTCTCGCTCGCATGTGGAACGCGCGCGCGGAAAATTACACAGCCAGTCCCGGTCGGTTCGAGCTTCCGTGGACCACGCGATGTGAACGTTTTTAGAACGGTGGAAATTTTCACCGCGCCGTGTGTCTCGGCGAAAAGTGAAACGGCGTGATTGTAATCCATTCGCTCGATATCCGTGTTTCGATCGAGAGAATCATCTGGTGACTCGCGGAGGTAAATGCCGAATCTCAGGCGATGATCTCTGTACGATCTTTCACAGTTAAACTTTGGCGCTCGAAATTTCGAGTGAATTTTAAATCTGCTTTAAATCTGCTGTTTCAGAGTTGGCATTGTTCTAGAAATTAATTAATCTCGAGGACAATAAAATTTTATAAATTCAATCGGAATGGGTCGCTGGTCATTGAAAACTACGAGGATTTATCAGAGCTCTCTTAAACAATTCAGTCGATGGCGTAAAACTGCAATTTTTAATTCGAGATTGACGTTGTTTTAGAGTTCGGAGACCGATCGGCTGAATACCAAGATCATTTGTTGGTTCTTTTTGCAGAAATTTAATGAATTCCGATAATTTATGGGTACGTAGAATTAATCGACGTCGGATAAATTTCGCGTTCATTGTAAAAACCGAAAATAAAATGCAAAACTTGCTTTAAAAAAAAAAAAGGAGAATCGCAGCCACTGTACGTATCTCGCATCATGAAGAGAAGTCAATCGAATTACGAAACAATCGGGATCACATTCAAACTTGAATTAGAGTAAAATTATACATTCTAACTCCAAAATAAATTACTTTCGTAAATAATACAAACTCCAGAAGGTAAAATAATTAATAATTGACATCGTGATGTTAATTCAGCACGAAAAGACGCGAAAATGTTCAAATTGACACGCGAACGACGTTGTCAAGATATTTTCGTAAAAACGAGGGAATTAGAATGGATTTAGAATGTTAAAAAGGTCATGTTACGAAAAAAAGGGGACAGGTCAAATTCATCGGTGCAAAATAAGTCGCGCGCATGCAAATTAAAATATTAGTGCAAAAAATAATAATGATACTTCTCGAAGAGGCATTCTTTGCTAAATGAAAGGAACAAACGAAACG